CTACATAGTGAGTTCCAGGTCATCTGGGGATACAGGGAGACCCTGTCTCAAAAAGACCAAAAATAATAAATAAATGAATGAATAAATAAGTAAAAAGTCTAGCCGGGTGTGGTGGCGCACGTCTTTAGTCCCAGCACTTGGGAGCCAGAGGCAGGTGGATCTCTGTGAGTTCAAGGCCAGCCTGGTCTACATAGTGAGTTCCAGGACAGCTGGGGCTACAGAGAGACCCTAGTTCATAAAGAACAAAAAAAAAAAAAACAAAAGTCTTACTTTCTTTATGACTTACTATCAGTAAATATTTGGTTTTTATGTCTATTTTATAAATCTGTATACTGGGTCACATAAAAATTTCTCTGGTGAAAAGGGCTATGAATGGAAAGTTTCAGAAGCCCTTCTGTAAATGGCACCCCCAATCCACAGAGCTATTCCCTCTGTGCACCCTGCCTTTTTCTGTGGTAATGCACTCACAGTTGGTGATTATTTTTCTGTGTCCTTCATGAAATTCCCTAAGGGCAGGTCCCTTAGCACAGCTCACAGCTCTGTCCTTGGGGCCTGGGACACCCAAGGTGCCTGCTGCTCAACTACTCTGTGGGGAATCTCCAGTACTCTCCAGCACACCCCCGCCAGCCTCATAGGTGGAATTTGGCCAGAGTCAGGACTCTGTGTAGAACTGAAGACAGAGACAAGTCACAGTTCGCAAGTACCCTGGGTAGGCAGAGACTAGTCCGTGGGTGGAGGACAAGCTGATTCCCCATCCCTGGCTGTCTGTCTATCCCAACTCTACACTCCAACAATCCAGGCTCTCATTGTCCCTGTATGGATGGGGGGTAGGCAGCTGGCTCCAGCATGGCACAGGTCCCTTCCCACTTTTTCTGATGAGGGTGGGTACAGTTGCTTGGAAGAAAATGTGGAGGACTAAACAGCTCAGTGACCCAGTCCTCTGTCTTGCCATTTGAAAGGAATGAAAGTGGGATTAACCAAAAAACAAAATGCAACCAAAAGCAAAACGAAAACACACTACTGTTTAGAATCTGCCTCAGAAACAGTCACCTTATTGTTCTCTGATTCATAATAATATGAAGGGCTTACCCCAGCTTTGTTCTAAACTCGGACTGGTCTGAGCAGAGGCTGGCCTCTGGGTAGCAGTTTTGCAGCTACTAAAGTGTACTCTCTTCTCACTTGTAGAGTAGCTGCTGTGTGTTGAAGGATCCCCTGTGCACTGGGGAGAAAGGTTTGAATGCAGAAAGGGTTAGGCCAGCACCAACCAAGCATACTGTCCAAGTCCCAAGATCTTAAAACCCTTCAGCTTTTTTTTCTTTGGTTTTGTTTTTTGAGACAGGGTCTCATATAGCCCATGCTGGCCTCAAACGCTGTGTGGGGCTAGAGATGACTCAGTGTTTAAGAGCGCTTGCTGCTCTTCTAGAGGACTCAAGTTCAGTTCCCAGTGCCCATGTCAGATGGCTCACAACCACCTGTAATTCCAGCTCCAGGGGATCCGGTGGCCTCTTCTGGCCTCAGCAGGCACATTCATACATGTACACACACACACACACACACACACACACACACACACACACACAAAACCAAAAGCCTCACTATAATATACAGGATTACACTTTAAAACCTTCCAGACTGGGGCTGGAGAGATGGTTCAGCAGATAAGAACACTGGCTGTTCTTGCAGAAGACCCGGGTTCAAATCCTAGCACCCACGTGGCTGCTAGCAACTGTCTGTAACTACAGCTCCAGGGGATCCAACATCTGCTTCTGTCCTCGGAGGCACTGCACGACATGAGTGCACTTGCCTACATGCACACACATAAAATAAAAATAAAATATAAAAAAAAAACCTTCCAGACTTAGGCTGGGCATGGTTTGAGTGCAAAGCCAGCCAGGACTACAAAGTGAGACCCTGTTTTTTTTGGGGGGGGGGGAGAAAGAGGCAGGTGGGGGTGGTTTGAAGCACTAGCAAGGCAGAGATAAGAGTATCTAACCTGCTACAGGTTCAAGGCCAACCTGGGCTACATAGCTATCTTAAAAAAAAAAAACCCACAAAAATCCAAAGAAAAGAAAGTAGACTCAGCTGATGTGGCTTCAAGACAGGTGTCCCCTTCCTTCCTCGGGGCTCCATGTGCATCTGTCCTGAGCGGCACACTCAGCAAAGAGAGCCCTTTCTGGTAGAGGAGGACCAGGCTGTCCTTCCTTCGTGGTCTATGAGTAGCAGCACTCTAATGCTATCAATTTCAAACAAGATCTCAAGAAATAACAGGTCTTGGGTTGGGCACATGGCTCAGTGATAGTGTTTGCCTAGCATGTATAAGGGCCTGGGTTCAATCTTCAGAATTGCATAAATGGGTGTGGTGGTACACACCTATAATCCCAGCACTCAGGAGGTGGACACAGGTCAGAAATTCATCCTTAGCCGCATATAAAGTTCATGTCCAGCTTCAGCTACATGAGGCCTTGTCTCAAAAAAAAAAAAATCTTGGCAGATTGTTAAATTAGTAAATTAAGATTCCTGACTTGGGGAATTGAACTGCGTTACCTGAGGGGCCTAATCTAGTCATGAGTGGCCTTACAAGAGACAGGTGAGAAGGATATTTTGTACACAGAAGGAGAGTCAGTATGACTCCAGAAGACAGAGCCTCATGATGGCTCACATCTGTAATTCAGGATTTGGGAAACTGAGGCAGGAGGAATTTCAAGAGCTTGAAGCCAGCCTGGGCTACATAATGAGTTCCAGGCTGGCCTGGTCTACAGAGTGAGACCCTAACTCAAAACAAAAAGGAGAAAAAAAGAGACTAGGACCCCAAGAGGCAGCCTGGCCCTAGGACACCCTGATTTGGACTCCCAGAAACTGCTTTTAGGTAGCTGACCCTCCAGAACTAGGAAAGAATAAATTTGTTGTTTTAAGCTACTGAGCTTGTAGTAACTTGTCACAGCAGCCACAGGACAATACAATCACCTATAGAGCCTTATGTGACCTGCCCTGTCCACAGGGGCCAATCTCACTCTCACTTTCTCTACTCAGTCCCAGTAGGGACCTTCTTTTTGTTACTCCAACTGCCTAGCATGGTCCAGCCACAAGGCCTTTGCAAGGACTAAGCTCCTCATCCAGATCCTCTCAAGGGTACTTCCTACTCATGGCTCGGGTCTCTGGACATGTACCTTCTCTGACAGTTCTTCCTTGACCACCCTATCTAAAAACCTCCTCCTGGTGACTCTGTCCCATCCCTGTTTGATTTCAGTCACTATCTGGTTATTTTTCTTCCCTGGTTTATCATCTGTCACTTAGCACATAGTGGGACCCAAGAAAGCCTGGTCTAGCTTGTATATGGTGGTGAATAAATGCATGAAGTGTGCAAACCTCTGTGGCCTGATGTGTGTACACATATGAGGGTTTTGGTGCACACAGAGCTATGAAACCCTATAACACCTCGTTCTTTGGAGTGACCCTCTCCCCTAGCACAGTCCAGGAGCCTTCCACAGGACCTTTCACTTCTGAAACAGCTTGTGGAAGTGATGGACCCTGGACATCCTCTAGAATGGCTGTCTTCTTTTTTTTTTTTACATTTTGTTGTTTTTATTTTATGTGTATGAGTGTATAGCCTGCCTGTACATAAGTGCACCCGTGCCATGCAATGCCCATGGAGGTCAGAAGAGAGCAACGGATTCCCCAGGAACTGGAGTTACAGATGATTGTTAGCTGCCATGTGGGTGCTAGGAACTGAACCCAAGTTTTCTGCAAGAACAACCAGTGTTCTTAACCTCTGTGCCCTGAGTATGCCTTCCAGAACCCTCATGGTAGAAGGAGAATACCAAATGGCCCAAGTTGTCTTCTGACCACACATATGGGTGCCATGTGTGTACTGACCCAATCGCATACACAGACAGAAACACACTCTCTCTCCCTAAATAAACATTTCAAAAAGTGCTTTCCTGATATAATGTATTAAAAAAGAAACTTGGTCTACTGCAAAAACAGTTAGTGCTCTTAAGCAGAGTCATCTCTCCAGTCCCAGGACAGCTAAATTCTATTACTTATTAGCTGCAATACAAAGGATTAAGCCCAGGGTTTTGCGCTTGGCCACCTAGGCTAGGAGGACACAGTACCACTGAGCTCCACCCCCAATCCTTTTCGTAGTTTTAAAATTTGAAACAGTAGCCCAAGAAGTTACCCAGCCTGGTCTTGAACTCACTCTGTAGCCCAGGAAAGCCTTGAACTTTTGATCCTCCTCCTTCAGCCTCCCTAGTAGCTGGAATTCTAGATATATGCCCCTCGGCCAACTTTTTTGGTGAGGAGGGTTTTTTTGTTTTTGTTTTGTGGTGCGTGCGTGTGTGTGTGTGTGTGTGTGTGTGTGTGTGTGTGTGTTTGCTTTTTAAGGCAGGTTCTCAGGTACCCCAGGCTGGCCTCAAACTCACTAAGTAGCCAAGGATAACCACAAACCTCCCGCCTCCCCAGTGTTAGGATTACAGGCATGCCCCACCATGCCCAGTTTTTGTTTGTTTGTTTGAGACAAGGTCCTCCCCTATGGTCCAAGCAAGGCTGGAATTCATTATATAGCCCAGGCTAGTCTGGGATTTGCTGTGATCCCCCTACCTCAACCCCCGAGTGCTGAGATTACAGGCCTAAGTCACCACGTCCTGCTTGCATTATCTGTTTAGAAGTGAACCCTGCCTGCACTTTCCAGAAAGGACTGCCTGCCTCTTCACACCCCAAGTCTGGTTGGACTTCCCCTGGACTCTCAGACTCACTTTCTGCCCAGAGCAGGTCATTACCCGAAGGCACACAGCAACCCCGGGCGCAGGAAAGAGCAGTCCACCGCCGGCCGGGAGCCGCCAGCCTACGCCGACCTCGACGTGGCAGTCCTCGGGGTGTCCTCGGGGAGCCCAGGGTTAAGGGCTGGGCTCGGAGCGGGACCCGGGGCGGGGCCTGCGGGCTGGGCGGGGCGTCGCGTACCTGTCAGCCCTGCTCGCCCGGGATCCCGCGCAACGCCCTTGTCCTCTTCGGGAGCCGCAGCCTGCCAGCAGCGGGGAGCTGGGCCCGAGCGTGGTGGGCGCCGCAAGCCGCCATGGCCGAGTTCCCGTCGAAAGTGAGCACACGGACCAGCAGTCCCGCGCAGGGCGTGGGCGCCTCGGTGTCCGCGCTGCGCCCGGACCTGGGCTTTGTGCGCTCCGGCCTCGGGGCGCTAGCGATGCTGCAGCTGGTGAGCCGGGGTCCCTGCGCCGGGATGGGGAACTCGCCGGGGGCACCCCGGGACGCACGTCCGCGAGGTCGCTTGGAACCTCGCACCTCGGGGCTCCCGAGTGGAATCCCTGAGAGCGCGCTGTGTACGCGGGTGTCGAGGGGACCCGCGCCCCGCCAGGGTGCTCTGTGGGTCCCTCTCCTGCCCTGGCCGCTGGACCCGGCGCCAGGCTTCCTCGGCCGGGCAAAGTCCACCGTCCATCGTTCTGCCCGCTCGAGCCGAGCTGTGCGGCCGCGCTGCTGACCTCCTTGGCTGGGCGGGACAACGCATCGGTGGCTCCGACGCGCTTGCTTGCTCCAGGTCACCTGCCCTACCCGGGGCCAGCCGGTTTGGTCAGCCGGGCGGGTCGAGATCTCACGCCCTGAGCTGCAGAGTGGGATTCGTGGGAGGCCAGAGACCATGAGCCTGCTGTCCCCGGATCTCTGTGCAGACCCCAGCTGAGGCGCCAAGGGATGCCCCTCTCCAGCAGATGCAGCCTGGGGTGTCCGCTGTCTTCCCACGGTACCCTCTTGTGAGGGTCTGGAGGCCTGTGGCTGTCCCCGGAGGAGCGGTCCCTACAAGCAGAGCGCCGGTCCCCTGGCAGAGGCATAGGGTGGCACTGGAGGTGGGCTTGGATCCCTTTTCCGTCACCATCCCCCAAGTGTTCACTTCCTCGGACCCTCGACTTCGGAATTCGAGCCAGGCTGTCAGGTGGTTACAAGGTGCCTCCCACCCTCTGCAGAGACTGCATTTTCCCTGCCCCTCAGGGAGCGGCCTCTTCTACCTGGATCTGCGCTGTGTGAGCCCTCCCTTAGAATCTCCTGCTGGTTCAAAAGACTGATTCTTGGGCTCCACCCCCGGAAAAAATGTGGAAGCATTGCATTTTAAAGTCTTCTCCCCGAGCGGTTTTGATTATTTTTTCGTTTTAGTGAGATTGGGGAGGGGGAACATGACGAATTTAAATTTGCCAGGAGTAGACCCTGACAACCGTGAGTGCTGGGCTCTGGGCTGTCGGGCGGGGGTGTGGGGGTGGGGGGGTGTTTTGTTTTGTTTTGTTTTGTTTTGAGACAGGGTCTCATGTAGCCCAGGTTGGCCTCAGACTCTTTTTGTAGCCAGCTAGCTGTCTTCAAACTCCTTATGTAGCCCAGACTAGCCTTGAACTTCTGATCTTCCTGCCACCAATTGCTGTGATTCTAGACTGATACCACCACATGGGCCTTTCTCTGGGCTCTTTTAAAGATGCACCTGATGCTCGGAGTGGTGGGGCAGGCCTTTAGTCCCAGCACTCTGGAGTCAGAGGCAGGTGGATCTCTGTGAGTTTGAGGCCAGCCTGGTCTACATAAGTGAGTTCCAGGACAGCTGGGGCTACAGGGAGACCCTGACCAAAAAAAAAGAGGCACCTGATGGACAATTTTCGGGCTTCCCTGGTAGCCGAATTGAGTGGCTTGTGTAAGGGACAGAGAGGTCTAGTCTGGTCTGGGAAGGCTTCATTTGGTGGCAGGGGGTGTTGTTTACTTTTGAGCTGGACCTTCTCTGGAGTGGGAGGCTGAGGTAGTGTGGCATGGAGTGGAGACTGTAGATGGGAGAGTTGAGTGGAAGTAGGGCAAATAGCTGACTAGCATAGCAGGAGTTGAAGCATCAGTTTCTGGTAGGGCAAGGAGTCCAGCACCTTCCAAATCTTTGCCACAACTGGGGACTTGTTATGTTAATGGCCTTGGGAGGTTTTGAAGCATAGAGGCCCAGTAACTGGGTAGCTTTGTGCACCCTGAGGGTTAGCCCTTGCTGGGCAGAAGCATGTTACAAGTGAACAATAAGAATTGAAGTAAAGGGTTTGATAAAAGGAATTGGAATAAGAGTCTTGTAGTTTGGAGGGGCATTGTGAGCTCCCTCTGAGGAGCCTTCTGTTCCTGATTTGGGGGACTTCTGTGAGCTCAGTAGCTAGCCCTGAGCACCTGGATCCTCTTGCAGATTTAGATCCTCTTGCAGATGGATTGCAGGACCTGGTTGAGTTCTTTGGTGGAGCTTGGCATCTGGGTATCTAGGCCCTCAAGGATTGGGTGTGAAGAGATGGCTTCCTTCGCCTCCCCGGCTCCCAGGCTTTATTCGCCTTCCCAGTTGGACACTATACCAGTCTACTTGTGTGAGAAGTGGCTTCCTAAGTGGTTTCTGTGGTAACAGACTGCGCCACTGGGTCTAAGATGGGGCACAGGACACAAAGAGGCATCATTACCTGCTGCACAGTTGTTCCCTCAGAGAGGCACACCTGAGGCTCTAGGCCCTTGGCTAGGCTTTTGTCCTCTCATTCTCCACAGGTGAGGAAACAGGCTCACAGGTAGCTCTTTGCCCAAGATCTTGCCACTCACTTCCTGGGGAGTGATTATTCTGACTTTTCTAGCCCCTGCTCTTCAGAGGGTATGGGGGAGGCTCCAGAACCAGGACTTGCCTACCCCTGGGGATTTGGGAAGGCTTCATGGAGGAGGCAGTAACTGAGGAGATGGATGCTCATTGTGCACATCGCCCCTCTGTATTCCAGGGTGTGGAGGTGTTCCTGGAGTGGTGGGCAGGGAGGAAGTGAGAAAACTTCATTAGCATGGAAGAGTCTCTGCAGAACCAGTCTCAGTGTTCAGCATAGATGCCTGATGGTCTTCACTGACCTGTCACTCACTCATCCAACCCATCAGTTCCAGAAAGAACATTAGATGATGATATCACATCATGTAAGGCAGAAGAGTTCATGTATTTCTAACAAGCTGATGGTTTGGAGAGAGGAACTGACTTTAAAAATCAGTAAACAGCATTGCTGTAGCAGGAAGCAGAGCAAGTTGAAAGCTTTGGTTCATTGTTGAGCTTCCTAGTAATGTAAGCAAAAAGAGAAACATGAATTTCTGTAGCTTAGGGCCTCTAAACAAGGAAACAGGAAATTTGACCTAGAGAAAGCTCTCCTAATCATAAAAATCCGGAGTGCTCCATGCTGCTGTCTTTTGTGTAGCAAGGAAATGGAAGACTGCTGCGGAAGGCACGGGTAACTGCTGCTTACGGAGGATTCTAAGGGCTTTAAGTGGAATGAAGTACATGGGGGTGAGGTGCCCATCTCTTTCTAATTTTTTAAAGACCCTAAAAGCAAAGGATGATCTTACATGGGGTTTCTGGGATGAGTACACAGGCACATGACCAGAGTCAAGGCTGGAGAAGGAAGATGACTTCAGGAAGGGTAGCCCAGTAAGGACTTTGGGAGAGGATTTCCTGGCAGAGGTGAACTCTTTGGGGTCTGTTAGATGGGTGGGGTGATAAAAAGTTTCCAGCAGGGCATGGTGACACACACCTTAATTCCAGTGTTCCAGTGCTTGGAAGGTTAAAGAAGGAGCATCTTGAGTTTGAGGCCAGCCTGAGCTACATAGTGAGACCTTGTTTCAGAAAAAAAAACAAAGAACCAAAGAAGGAAAGGGATTCAGAAGAGTCCATAACTTTCAAAAAGCCTCTGTCTGTATAATGGGAGGACTGAGGGAATGAGGCCCCTGGTACTGGGTGCCTTTCTATCCTACCTCCTGGATTCCAGGTGGCCACGAAGTTCTGTTTGCAGACTAATCACAGTGATCTGGGGCATCTTCTAGAACTGTGACTGAATTATAGGCCTGAAAGCAGAAAGGTTCAAATCTGGCCTGTGCCTCTTCTGACTTGGGATTCTGGGAAGTTCCTGATTCCCCAACTTCATGGCCTTGTCTGTATAGTGGTGATGGTGGTATTTCAAGTATGGGACATGGTGCCTGCCAAGGGCTTAGGCTGGAGCATGTTGGAATGAAGGCAAGTTTCACTGGGCCCTGAAGATCCTAGGGCTTTCAGGCAAGCTTGAATACTACTGGGGTCAAGGAGCTCAGCCCCTCAAGGTATCCTCCATCCTTAGGCTCTTGGAAGTATGAGGAAGTTCTTCCTGCTGATCCTGGCTCTGTCTCCAGTCCCAGCAGGCAGGCTGGCTTCTCCATGGCAAGGCCCGAAAGTCAGGTCTGACTTCCAAGAAGGGGCTGCTGGGTTGTTGAGGTTGAAAAGGTGAGCTGGTATTATTGGGATGGTCGTCCTGGGGAGTCTGGGGACCTTCTTAGCCCTGACATTCCAGGTCCTTTGGTAACCTCAGCGGTGCCTGCAGGTTCCTGTGTCAGAGCCACAAGTGCCCTGCATGGTTAACTCCCACCATACACTCACTGGTAGACAAGAGCATGGCAGGTTTGGGAATGCATTTGTAATTACCTAATGAGTATATTAATATATTCTCCTTAGAAACAAAAACCCACAGCCAAACATAGTGGTGCACACCTTTAATCCTAGCAGTCGGGAGGCAGAGGCAGGCAGATCTCTGTGAGTTCAAGGCCTGCCTGGTCTATACAGGGAGATGCTGACTCAAAAATACCAATATATATGGCTCAGTGGTTAAAAGCACCGGCTGCTCTTGCAGAGGACCCAGATTCCTTTCCCAACACCTACATGGTGGCTAACCTTTTGTAACTCCAGTTCCAGGGAATCTGATGCCATCTTCTGGCCTCCACAGGCATTGCACACACAGGTGCACTTACATACATGGAGGCAAAACATCATACACATTTAAAAAAAAAACAAAAAATAACTCTATAGGTGTGGTGGTGCATGCATGTAATCTTAGCATTCAGGAGACTGAGATAAGAGGACTGCTGCAAGCTCAAGCCCAGCAGGCTACATAGTGAGATCTTATCGAAATAAATACATAAATACATGAATACACAAATACACAAACAGCTCTAAAGTTATCCTTAGTCACCAGCCCTTGCCCTCGAAGGGGAGTTATTTTGGAGTGTTTTTCAATTCCCTTTCCCTCCTTTCTAAAAAAAAAAATCGCCAGGCGTGGTGGCATACGCCTTTAATCCCAGCACTCAGGCGGATCTCTGTGAGTTCAAGGCCAGCCTGGTCTCCAATGCGAATCCAGGCCAGCTGGGGCTACAGGGAAACCCTGTCTC